TCTTTAAGCCGCATGTCCGGCATCATAATATCCTCGTTGACCCCAATTGAATTTGGTTCATTCCATTCAACTTTCAATTGTTCCACATCGTAAGCATCTGTAAATTGTTTTTTTTTTTTTTTTCACCGTCGTTCACCACTGCTGATTGTTTAGCAGTTACAAAACTTTTTATTTTTCTTAGCATTCTATTATCTTGATAGAGATCAATTACTGCCAAAATAATTGACAAGATAAACAAAACCACTCACAGCTGAGAATCCGTAAAGCACATAATTGAGAATCTAATGGATATTTAATCAAATTTTGCATACAAATCACTGTCAACGATATCCTACAAAAAAAAGTGGCTTAAAGATGCAGTCTTGTAGTTTTTGGTCATTTAGAAGAAAAGATGAAAAAAAACTGGTAAATGGCATTTACAGACAGTAGTATAAGCAAAATCAAAAGTAATAATGTGCAGTCAATTTTTGTTTCTTTTTTTATTACATATCCATTTGATTAGTGCTAAAAGTCAAGTTTTCTTCGTCATTTAGTTGTCAAAAAACAAAAATGTCAAAAATTTCTTATTAATAATAATTTGTTGTTGTTTTTAAAACCTTTACTGACCTTTAACGTGATCATTGACTTGATACAGAAAATAATGCTGACGAAGACAACGAAGAAAATTAATAACAAAAGTGACAAAGACATTAACAATTTAAAAACCAAGTGTTTTCCTTCAAATGTTAAAAAATAGAATAAAGAAAAGTAGAGAAGAAAAGTTCTAAAATGTATTTTAGAAGTAAATGACTTAAATTATTTCGCTTTCAAGTCTAATTAAACACTTGACGTTTAACTGTTTACGAACATATCTAATTAGCTGTTTCTAGAAGGGCATGATAGGTACAAATGGACCAAATATGATTTAGTTTGGGTATTAGGTAAACAGTTAAGCTGTTACCATTTGTTTAATTAAATAAATATGTAACAGGCTGATTTTAGTTAAGCCTATTAAAAAAGTATTTTTGGTAAAAGAAAAGAGTGTAAACACAAACCTACAGTCATACCAAACTGTACCATTTGGATAAATCCAAACCAAAAAATTTGGTGATGTAACATCATGAAATTCTGCGGTTCTTGCATTCGCGAAATACAGATCTGGATGCCATATTCGATTAAAATGTTCTCTTCGTTTGATCAAAATTCGTTTGCTGTTGTTATGCTGTAGACGTTCATCACGCCACTTTAACTGGAGATACATATCCACTTGAAAATCCTACAAAAAGAAGTACAGAAGCGATGATCCATAAATTTTTTCTATTATTATTAAATTTTGCTTTTCCAAAATCTAAGTTCATT